CTGTTATTCTATTATCTATATATTGCTGGTTATTATAGAGTTAGCAAGGCAAATCCTGGGATTTGTTGATTCAGGGCAAGGTGGTAAGAAAGAATTTGCCAAACACCATTATTGGCAATCTGAAGTATGGTGTTCCCTGAGAGCAAGCAAAAAGGGAAAAGAATTTATAATTATATTTTTACTGAAGCAGTAAATAAGCTATTTCTGAAATACGTGAAAGCTGTAATAGATGGCACCGTTTTTGGAGATGGAGGAATCTATTAAGTAGAAGGACTGCAAGTAATTCATAGGAACATGTCAGATGCCATCTAGCTATTCATACAACACTGATACCAAATGCAGTAGAAACTGGGTTTCTGAGGGTTTCCTTATACATATGCTCTTGACATTACGCTACAATCTTCACCTATAAGAAAGAGTAATAGTAGATATTAACATAGTAAATTAAGATGGGGGGGATGGAATAATTTAATGGTGATTAAATTAGATAATTTGGATTAATGTAAATACTATTTAAACTGACCTCCTACAATTTATAAAATGTAACCTGGGAAGAAAAAGATCATACCCCATCATACCATTTACACAACTTTCCAATATAATAATTATTACTGTATAAACTCCGCCAGTTGCTCGTATTTCTGTTATAAACACACCTGGCTACTTACCCAGAATTATACTTTCTAAGTATGTTGATTGTTTTGTTGTTTTCTAGATCTGCCCTCTATTTCTGACATCTTTATTGCTCAAACCCACTAAGGTAGCATGCTCCCTTCCTTTGCAATTATATGTTATATTTGCTAGCTTCCATACAGTGCTATTATATGTTAAGTTTCCATGTGGTGCTGTTGTAACTGTCCAGCCTAAGATTCTAATTGTCTTTCTTGTTTATCTGTGAGACAGACTGCTCCATAATTTGTTCTAAGCTGCTAATATAGGCATCTCGGTTTTGTTTTAAAATGGCTGAATATTACTTTCATTTGGTTTTTAATTAGCAATTTATTGTGGATCTGTCTTAGAATAAACTGATGAGGAGATTATATTCACCATAAAAACTATGCAGTTGTAATAACATTTTAATCACTTTAGCCTATACTGTTTTATTGTTTATAGCATTTCTGATAGTGTTAAGTATTCACTTAATTCTACTGTAACTGAAACATACTAGCAAATGAATCACTTGCTCATAAAACAGTACTACTGCTTCAGTTACTATACTATTCCTCTTAAACAGCAATGCTGAGCTTTTTTAGGGAAACCTAGGTCTGATCTGTCAATGGCCTAGAACAGATTTTCATATAACCCGATTTAAACGTCCATCTCAAAATTGTAAGATTTTCTTTAATTACCCTTTTCTTGCCACAAAATCTAATGTTTATCAATCTTAACAGTAATGCTTCTCCACATTAACATTTTTGTGACTTAGGCTAGAGTTATCTTAGAAAGGAAAGCTTTTCCTTTTTTTTCCAGACTATCTGATAGCAAATTCTAGTTAGCAAAATGTTGCTCAAGATCATCCAGAACCCTACATGAGAAGGGAAATAGCAGATATTCAAGCAAATTTCAGAAAGATAACACAGCTGATAATTAAAAGGGCCCCAAAATATTGAAAATAAGTTAATATGTACTACAGCTATCATAGAAAGGCCTTTGAGTGTGTTGACCATATTAATATCTCCTTAGGAAAAAGGAAAATCCAAAACATCCCACTGTCTTTATGTGAAATTCGTAGACAGAACATAAAGTGCAGATTCAACAAGGTGAAACAGACTACCTCCAGGTCAACAGAGGAAAAAAGGCAAAGCTACACTTTTGCATCATTTACAGAGATATAAATAAATATTGAATATATATTATTTGTGTAGTATACTATTATATATGTGTTGAACATATATTGAGTAAAGCTGGATTGGAATAATATGAGTCTGGATTTAAAATTTGAGTATCTGTGTATGTCACTAATCTGACAGGTGAAAATCTGAATAATCTGCACACTCTGCTAATGAAATCAAAAACTCAGTAATAATGGGGATATGATGAAATATTCGGAAGAATAAACTAGGCTAATATTAATAAAAATACATAAAAATGTATTCCTAGTTTTAAAGTTGTCTCTCTCTATATAATACCAGAGAATGAGATTACCTATGTTAAAACAAAATGTCAAACTGAGCTTTTTCATCACAATAGCAAGTGTATCTTCCTTTCCATTGTGTTCAGAGGAGACTACTTCTGTTTCATATTTGTACAGCAATTTTGTTAAATGAAGATTAATCATGGCTAACTTTAAAAATGATTAATGTTAACACATCCATCTTAAAATGCATGTAATGCAATTAAGATTAATAACACTTAATTCAGGTTCAAATAAGATAATTTGGTCTACATTTTTAAATTAATTTATACTTTCTGGATTTCTGTGTAAACTGAAACTACAGCTTCTAACTTACATGGAATCTGCGATAATATTATCTGCTCAGAAACTAGAATTCAAAAATGTTAATATTTATGGAAACTTTCTTACAAACATGCACTTATGAGGAGAAAATACAGGGAAACAAAATCACATCAAATGTAAAATGAAGTTATTTTTATATATTATAAAAACTTCCATGGAAGAATAAATGCATATTTTCTTACAATTTTAAAAATGAAATATATAAAACAGTGCAGAATCCTGAATGCAACAGAGATTACATTAACATGACAATAAAAGTATCTGTACCTTCTTAAACTCTGGCTGATTAGTGTTGAAAGCAGCTTTGTTTGTACTTTGCATAGGAAATATTTCTAGGCAATATTAATAGATTTTCAGATCCAAATTTGGGGCCGGGGGGGAAATCCCACAATCAAATTATTTTTCCAATGACAATCTTAGCGGCAGTCCCTGGATAAATTTGGGGGAGGGGGAGAGAGCAGGAACCTTGCAAACTATTATCTGTTCATAGAGAAGAAAAAAAACTAGGTCAAGTGCTAAAAAATCAATTAACCGAATAAAAAGTTGTCAATTGAATTAATATTCAGGGTAGATGAAAATAACCCTGTCAGATATTGGCTTCCTGAAGTATTACATAGATTACACATGTAACACTTATTTAAAAAGGACAGTTTATCAGGGGAAAAAAACCCAACCACAGCTAAAAAAGAAGAGCTGTATTTCTGGGGCATTTTCCATAACAGCAAATCAGCCTCAGGAATTACATGAGTATTTTCGGGGCGGGAGGGGGTCGGGGGGGGCTGTTCACCTCATAAAGTAAATTCAACCTCAAACTCTGCCATTAACAATTTTTTAACCATTGGAACACTGACAGATGTTCTGAGACAGATTCAAAATTACAGTTTGAAGATTGAAACTTAAAATTTGAATTAAATTTACAGTTGGTCAGATCTTGCTTCATGAGAAGCAAATCTACTCCTAAATAGAAAAGAGTCAGAAAAGGAAAGGAATATTCACATTCATACAATATTAGAATAATATTCTTTTACCAGTTAATTAGGTTAACTGGTAACCTAACATGTGTAGGAGCCTATGGAAAAATAACATTCACATGCCAACTATGGAAACATTTGAATTTTTGTTGAATAAAATGCATAAACCTTTATACTAAATATTACAGTTGAACATGATGAAATACTGAAACAGAAGGCAAAAATCTATCAACTTTGGTCTGCTCTGTGGTGATCAGTCCAATTCAACCCTCTATACATAATCTGTTTTCAAAATTAAATGTTCACGTTGCATTCAGATGGCCTGCTTTTCCACGGAGAAGGCCACTAAGCCTACATGTTGTCCACGACTAATGACTACAACTGAGACATGAATTTCTGGTATAAATTGATGCAATTGTAAAGTGAGTCATCAGGTGACAGGACCAGATGTTGCAACCATTTTTACCATAGTGGTTGCACAAATCACATGGTCATTAAGCAAATCCATTCCCCAATGGATTTTTTTTGTAAGAAACTAGCTGGGAAGAGGACATTAAAACTGGATATAAAGGCAACCCAGTTGCCAAGCACCCAAACTGATCAAGTGATCAGTCTTAAGTGCAAGGACAGGTCATAAATCACTTTTTCTGAAATCACTGTAACTTTGAACCTCCATTAAACGAATGGTCGTAAGTCAAGGACTATCTATATTCCACTTTATTATACTCCATTTTATATCTGAATCAAACCTTCCAAGAATCATCCTCAATAGGCTCGACATGGAGTTGCCCTTGAAGAACAACCAGAAGCTTCAACAGAGCCAGAATGTTCTTGCACATACCATCTTTTATCTTTATATGTTTTGATTTTAATTGTAGTTTCTTTGTCTATTGTGAGCCACTCAGAATCGTTGAGAGTTGGCTGGCATACAAGTCTAATTCATTAATATTAATAATAATCCCAGTCCAACACTTGATATTTTCTGATACTCTGTAAAGAAATCATCCTATGGCCTCCATCCTCTACGACTTTTAATTTATTAACCAAAGGTATACAATATAATGTATGTTAAATTTACCATGAATCAAGGCAAATGCAAAAGCAAAGGTATAATGCAAAAAGCCTTGTAATAAGGTTAGGATGAAAATTCACACATACATTAATATACACCTTGTTATGTTGCAACTTTGCTTTTCCTCTGGGTCAGTTAGAAGATGAATTTCTATTAATTAGCACTAGGCCTTCACTTCATTATCATAAGGCAATTTCATTTGCAGCTGCTGTGTCAATTTTTCTCTTTAAAAAAAAAGTTATACAACCATTTACATAACCTGCCAAGCCAGGCAAACTATGCAGCATTTGTAAAATATCTCATTAAAACAATTTCTCTCATATAGAAAAAAAAATAGTCTTTAATGTCAACTATGCTTATTGTGATGGCAGCATATAACCATACATCCATACCCATCAAAGCTTTCTAGCCATTATGGAATCTACAATTGTTAACCAATAATTACCAATAACTGTCCAAGAAAGTAAGCAGGCATTTGTTTTTCTATACAGCAGCTTACCTTAGAATGCATAGACACACTTTGCCTCCTGATGTTAAACGACAAAATCCAAATCTTTGCTTGCTTTCAATGTCAGTAAGCACAAAAGTAAAATGCTGTCCAACTTGTGTTACCCTAGGGGGAAAAAACTGTGTTAGGAGGCACTTCCTTTAACACTAAAAAGCAAATATGCTTAAAATTAATGTTAATACTATTAGATTAATTGTTGTCATAAAATAGTTTCATAAAATAAAATAAAAACATTTTAAATCAAATTAAGTAATATAGAAAAGAATATGAAAAGACTTTGGAGTGAACAGACATAGATGTAATACAGTAATCTTCACTTAGCCCAGGGGTGTCAAACTGGTGGCCCGCAGCCGGATGCATCATGTGCAGGCCATGCCCACTCTGGCTCTGCAAAGGCAAAAAAAAGTCGCAATACGTCACGTGACATCACGTGACACGATCGAGTTTGATACCCATGACTTAGCAACTACCTCGTAGAGCAACCATTCGCAGTTACAAAGTGATAACCAATCTGCATTTATGACCCTTGCAGGTCTGTAAAGCAAATGAAAGTTGAAGTAAATTATAAGCATAATTGGGGTCTCACTAGCAACTGCTTCACTTAATGACCTAGTTGCCAATCACAACTGAGATATATCACAGCTGAGTATAACTTTTTTTAAGGATGTAGAATGTTTGTACTTGAAAGAATAGAAGAAAATTTCTAGACAGAAGAGCTTTAGTGAAAAAAAATGCTGTTAGTAGTATGACTATTAAAATATTACTTTGTAACAGGAAATAAAGAATTTAAGAAGTTCAATTTTTACTTTGACCAGAAGACCTTAAAATGGATTACACTCCTACAAACTGACTCATGTATCCATATTACAAACCAAACACTAAGAGGGAATATAGATTTTAAAAGTAGCTGACACTAACCATTAAAAGGAAATGTAACTTTTTACAAAAGTAAATAGTGCTCCAAACTGTTTTCTAATAAAACATAATATTCTAGTACATTTCTCTCTCACTGTTTGTTTATATGTGTGTTTTAATATAATCTTAATAGCTAAAATAATAAATCATTGATTGATGAAGAACATATATAAATATTCATCAATCTTGTTGACTACAAAGGACTTTTTCAAGGTCACTATAATAGATGGCAACATTTTAAACACATATTTAAACAACAGGGTATACTCATCTGACAATGGAATAGATAGGGAGTATTTATATTTCTGTATTTATTATCAAGACAAAGTTTTCTTGGAGGGCAGATTAAGAATTACGTGTTTTTATGTATGGATATGTAGTTATCAACATCAAATATGAGTTGTTTGCCCTTCTACAGGAAAAAAATCATTTTCCTGTAGATTTATATGAGTCTGTGTAATTGTTCAGGAATGTGTAGCCATTCATGTGACAGAAAGATTTACATAAAAGTTATGAGCTGTTTATATGCCTTTCATACTGTTTTCATTAGCATATATAGCATACTTTCCAGTTTTACAAAAACAAATGTTCATAGTTTAAAAGTACAACTAAGATAAAGACAAAAAGTTACAAAATTAGAAATGATATGAAGAAATAGGGATTTTTTTCACAAAGCAAATGAAAATAAAGTAACTCCGTAAAGTTGTCATTTAGGAAGAAAAAAGGAAGTTCACCTTCAGATTGCTGAAGTATTAATCAAATTTAAAAACTAACTGTAACCAATGCCATGATTTACAAAAGTAATAAAGTAACTGAGTTTCAATTAAACTGAAGTAGTAAAGATTTCTGGTATCAATGGTACCATAAACTTATATGGAAGTCTTCTTAGTATCCTCTATCCTCTAGATTTGCTGGGATGTTAACACCCAGAAATCAGAGGGGCCAAGTTTGAAATTACTGCTCTTTACCCATGGTAATCATCTGGATTTGTCTTGTCCTATCTTTCTGCATATTTCTGTTTCTCAATTCCTTAATTCACACTGAGTTTCCAGCATGACTTTCTATGTTGCCATTTTATGTTGTGAATAGGGTGAAAACCACACAGTAAAAATGGATGGGCTTTGATCACATAGTTAATGCCTGTATTTTTATGTATCTTTACCCCCTGTATCATTGAATAGAGTTAAAATTATTTGTTTGTTTGTATCCCGTCTTTATTATTTTTACAAATAACTCAAGGCAGCAAACATCTCCAACACATCTTTGCCCTCCTATTTCCCCACAACTCTGCAGAATGAGTTGGCTGAGAGAGGATGACTGGCCTAATGTCGCACTTGGCTTTCATGACTAAAGTGGGACTTGAACTCGCAATCTCCTGTTTTCTAAGCTAGAACCTTAACCACTAGACCACCATTTCCCAACTGTTCATGTACCAACCTTAACATAAGTAATACTTACTAGTTTAATTTAAAAGCTCATATCAATTCCTGGTTAATTTTAATTACACTTGGTTATTTGAGTTTTCAACTTACCCTCATTTCAAAATAGTGTATTAAAGACACAGAATGATTAGTATTTGGAAGCTAATGAAAAACAAGTAATTCATAACAACAACTGGCTAACTCAAATCATTTTAAACAATGCTTCCAAATGTTTCTTGAGTTACGAAAAAATCTTACGCAGGGTAAATATCCATAGTTAAATTCAATTATATGGGATAAAACAAAGTCCTACAGTTGACAGAATGTTTGTATAAGAAAATTTTTCAGAGTTAAATCTTTGTCTGGCCGTGAAGTTCAGTAGGTGTGCTTGGAATTTTTTTGTTGTTCTTCCTGACATGTGTCCTCCAACTGGATTAAAGAATTGTAAAGAATTCTGTCCATTGAATTCTAGTGGTTAAAGAAATCTCCAATGACTAATCAGCTAACTTATAATTAAGCATTTCATTAAGCCTGCACAGAGTTCCACATGGAACAACAATTCTGCTAAGCTGGTGTCATAACAGCCATTCTCAGAAGAGGCGTTCCTCCTATGACAAAATGAGGAGCAATGCCTCTCCTAAATGGCATCTGTCAGACACATTTTTTTAAAAAAAAAGGTATTTAAAATCATGATTTTCTTTTAAAATCTACTGCTTAATAAGCTGAAAACAAATGCTTGCTCTACCAAACTATTAATTATGAATAAACAGTGCAGACCTACATATACTATACATAATAAATCCATTTTAAAATTAAAATACATCCTCAGAACACATCTGTACAATCTTTAAGAGATATTTCCATTGGAACTTCTTATGTATACTTTTGAGGGCTGGAAGGAAGTAAATATACAGTTACAGTGTCTTATCAACTTTATATTAATAAGAAATGCATGCTAAAGATTTATGGTTATGTATTAAAAGCCTGAAAGCATACTAAAATCATATTGCCTACTGACAAAGATACAAATTAAAACTTACAATTCAGAAAACACTTAATTATTTTAATACAGTGCTTCAATCCATTCAATACTTTGCTATGAAAATCAATATTTTGCAGTGCAAATTGTTTTCAGTGCACCAACCTCACTTATTGAAAACCCATGATAAGACATACCTTGTAATGTCAAAAGGAAAGCAGAATTTAGGTATACTCTGGAGGACTGCCTGTAAAAGCAAAAAAAAAAAAAAGAAGAAGAAGAAGAAGAAGTTATATAAATGTAACTATTACCTGAATATGCCTGTAATTTTTTTCCAAGAAAAAATCAAGCAATATTTGATAGGAAGAGGAAACTATGCTGCATGTTCCTGGATTAAAATAATTGATTATTAAAAAGGAATTAAGTTTGTGCTTTGGCAGATTGCAAAGACAATACCATAGAAACCCCAGGAGGAAAAGGCCTGGCCTGAAGGGTATTAACACCCTTCACATCCCTGCTGGGATTCCCTTCAACAAGGCCATATGGATTTTACAAGAAGCACCGTACCATATGGGTAGGCCACGTCTGCTGCTACTTGTACTATAGACTAGCCATAGGGACTTCTGACAGATCCTGGCTCAAAAATACAAATGTTGTTTCAATTAAAATGCAGGCAGAGGAAAGGGAACTAAGTTGACAGCATATGCATTTTATGAGCAAATGTTTTTAAAAGCTGGAACTTTTCATTTGTTACATACAGAAAATTGAACAGAGTTAACCCTTTAGGATATCAGCAAGGTTCAAAATTACCTGCCAATTAAAAAGAAAATAAAAAGAAAATACCTGTAATTTTATAGAAATAATACACCCATTTCTTCCTGTTGGGTTTGACATGCTACTCAGCTACTCATTTTTAATTACATGAATGGCATATACTGGTTTGAAAATTTATTATAAAGTGAAGAAAAATAGTAGAATAAAAAAGCAGTTATAACTATCAAGTGTTCGCTGATACTATGACAAAACAAGAAATAGGATTGGCACCATTCCCTTATTTTCAGCTATATAGTACCAATATTCACACAGAATTAAATGGTTCTCCTGCTGAGGGAAGCCATTTTGTTAACAAGACAAAACAGATGTCAGAAAACTTCAAGGCGGGAAAGGAGCAGCTAACAGCCATTGATTCGGAAGGTGGGAGGAAGGGGCCCAGCATTTAAACCTGGCAAATAACTTTTACATGGAGGACAGGATGCTGGAGTGCTGTTAGATGGACAAATTCTTCATATATATGGCTTCCTAATTATTGAAGTAAATTTATTTACCTAGCCTTCTTGTGTCTGCGTGGAAATACAGAGTTATCATAACTGCCATGTCAGATACAAAGTCCTGTCAGTCCTCTCTGTTAAAGCTTAGATTGTACATATTCAAGCAGAAACCTTTCGTTATTATAACATTAATCTTTTCAGTGTATTGTACCTTAATGTCACTAAGAAAATCAGAGATTCTACCTTGCCAGCTTCATCCCTTACAAGAAGGAAAAAATTGAAAAGATTGCTTGGGGAAAAAACATACAAGAAAAGAAGAATGCCTGCATTTTCTTTCAGTTACTAATATAAAATTAGTATTTCACTAGGGGAGAAGGTAGGAGAAATTTGGAGGAAATTGGCTAGTTACATTAGAGAAACACAGATTCGGGTAGTGTGACAGAAATGTTTCACAAATCATTGTTTTCTTACTGGATGCCCCTTAATTACAGACCCTAGTTAAGAATTTTCTAACTTCAATGAAAGAAAGGATAATAGAAAAACTTGGAAACATTGCATCCTGTGTATTATGAGAATTAATATAGCTGGGCAAAATTCACTCCTACAATCATATGTGTTATGTTCTCAGTTCTTAGGGTCTGATTAACATATACATTTCTCATTATTGGATTTCAGATATATTAAATTAATTGCCATAATTTATTATTCCTGGGAAATTTTAATTTCCACTAATGTTATATGGCTATAATTTCATATTACACCTGTGTGAGCATATTCTTTCATAGCTATGTTTGGCTAATCTTCCAATTTAGATTTCAGGCTCTAAATCAGATGCAAAACCTGTACTGATACAAATGCAGTGTAAGGTCAAAGTGAAAGCCACAAGAAATTGGTAAAATCACTGTAGAAAGAAAAGGAAATGGAAGAAAGTACATGCTCAAAAGCCTGACAATAATTTTATTAGGTGCTAGCCCCAGTGAGGCAATAGTAGAATTTTATTTGGATCTTCCAATATACGATACTATATTTCCAAGAAAGATTGTCTCTCCATTTTATGAAGCATCACTAAAATCAGATTGTCACAGTTTACTTAGAGATAGCAAATTAATGTTAGCCTCATATGTATGCATGTATGCATATGTATGCAAAATGTATGCATTTTGCTGCCCTTATTGCGTCATCAGATAATCGCCCGGCCGCCCTGTTTAGGGTGACCCGCTCCCTGCTCCACCAGGAAGCGCGGGAGGACCCCTTGGAGGGAAGAGCCGAGGACTTTGTTCAGTATCTGTATGACAAAATCACTCAGATTCGGGAAGGTCTGGACTCTGACTGGGTAGATCCAGCGAGAGTGACGGAGGCAGGTCTTGAGACTGTTATCTGGGATGAGTTTGATCCTGTGACCCCAGATGACGTGGACAGGATTCTGGGTAGATTGAACGCGACCACATGTTTGTTGGACCCGTGTCCCTCCTGGTTAGTGCTGGCTTCCCGGGAGGTGACGCGAGGCTGGCTCCAGGGGATTATAAATGCTTCATTGGGTGAGGGTGTCTTCCCCGCCGCCCTTAAGGAGGCGGTGGTGAGGCCCCTCCTCAAGAAGCCTTCCCTGGACCCGGCAATATTGGTTAATTATCGTCCAGTCTCCAACCTTCGTTTTGTGGCGAAGGTTGTTGAGAGTGTGGTTGCGGGACAGCTTCCCCAGTACCTGGATGAAGCGTCGTATCTGGATCCGTTCCAGTCGGGTTTCAGGCCTGGATACAGCACGGAAACGGCATTGGTCGCGTTGGTTGATGATCTCTGGAGGGCTCGGGACAGGGGCTGTTCCTCTGTCCTGGTCCTGTTAGATCTCTCAGCGGCTTTTGATACCATCGACCATGGTATCATGCTGCACCGGTTGGAAGAGTTGGGGGTGGGAGGCACCGTACTAAGGTGGTTCTCCTCCTTTCTCTCCGACCGGTCGCAGTCTGTGTTGACAGGGGGGCAGAGGTCGACCCCGAGGCCCCTCATATGTGAGGTGCCGCAGGGATCGATCCTCTCGCCCCTTTTGTTCAACATTTATGTAAAGCCGCTGGGCGAGATCATCCGTGGTTTTGGGGTGAAGCACCATCAGTACGCGGATGACACCCAGCTGTACATCTCCACCCCGGACCACCCCAACGATGCCCTTGAAGTGATGTCCCAGTGCCTGGAGGCCGTACGGATCTGGATGGGGAGGAACAGGCTCAGGCTCAACCCATCCAAGACCGAGTGGCTGTGGTTTCCGACGTCCCGATATAGTCAGCTAATGCCATCGCTGACTATTGGGGGCGAATCATTGGCCCCCACGGATAGGGCTCGCAACTTGGGTGTCCTCCTGGATTCACGGCTGTCGTTAGAAGAGCATGTGACGGCCGTGTCCGGGAGGATTTTTCATCAGGTTCGCCTGATCCGCCAGTTGCGTCCCTATCTAGATCGGGACTCCTTACACACAGTCACTCATGCCCTCGTTACTTCTCGTCTGGATTACTGCAACGCTCTCTACATGGGGCTCCCCTTGAGGTGCACTCGGAGGCTCCAACTGGCGCAGAGTGCGGCCGCGCGGGTGGTGATGGGAGCGACATGGAGTTCCCATGTGACACCTCTCCTGCGCGAGCTGCACTGGCTCCCGGTGGTCTTCCGAGTGCGCTTCAAGGTTCTGGTTATCACCTTCAAAGCGCTCCATGGGTTAGGACCTGGTTATTTACGGGACCGCCTGCTACCACCAATAGCCTCCCACCGGCCAGTATGCTCCCATAGAGAGGGGCTCCTCCGGGTGCCGTCGGCCAAACAATGTCGGCTGTCGGCCCCTAGGGGGAGAGCCTTCTCTGTGGGGGCACCTACGATTTGGAACGAGCTCCCCCCGGAGATACGTAGGATCCCGGATCTGCGCACCTTCCGCCGCGCGCTTAAGACCTTTCTATTTTATCAAGCTGGCCTGGCCTAAATCTTCCCCCTTTTTAAATGTGGAAATTTTAAATTTTTAAATTTTAAATTCGTCTTTTTATAGGGGTATGGATAAGGCATTTTAAATTGGGGAGCCATTTTAGATTTAATTCTGTTTTAAACGTATTTTAATTGTTTATATTGTATGTTTTTAACTTTGGCTGTTCACCGCCCCGAGTCCTTCGGGAGAGGGGGCGGTATAAAAATCTAATAAATAAATAAATAAATAAATAAATATAAAAGAGGCAAAGTAATAAATATAATATTTAAACGCTACTCAACTTATTAAGCTTATTATAATAGAGAATTCTCTCTGTGTGTGTCCCCCGCTTTCTTCTAGTAACAATATTAGTATTTTAGACTCTAGGTCTTCACAGTAATAAATACAAGTTTGTCTTTAACAAACCACCACAAACTATATTTCTTCGCAATATTGATTAGTAAGCACATAAGATTCTATCTCTAAGGAACTGTATTTACAGACATTTGTAACATCCCTGTTACATTTTCTGGTCTTCCATAAAATGAGAACGCACAGAAAAGAGGAAAAACAGATATTATTGTATTTCACTGTAATAGATATATCAGCCCTTTCTAAAACATTTTAAGGGGCAAACTAACTCAATACCTTTCTTTCCATCCCTCCCCCATCCACGTGTGTGTGTGTGCACACACACATATACACACACTCTTCTGCAAAATATGGCCTCAGCTCGCTTCCCAACTGGCAGGATCATCCCTCAGGGGACAAGTCTTTAAACCTCCGCACTCTTTAAAATTCAACCAGCCAGCAAGTCTATACACTGGTGTATAAACAGTATAGGAGAGGAAAAAAATCCTCTCAGCTTATGTCAATGACAAAGCAACTCAGCAGTTGACTGTTTCTCCCCTGACAGTATAAGCCAGATCAATAGATGGAAGGCTACCTAGGCTTGTAAAGATCAGTTCTCTACTTTAATTACAGGTGTTATTCAGATTTTACAATAAAGGAAATTAAGATGCTGTCCAGAATGTTTCTTAG